ACCCCCCTCCACGCTATGATACTCTCCAGAAGAGTAGAGTGCTGACCCAGCACTGTGTCAGTTCTGTAGCTTTTGACATGCATTATATATCTGTAATATTCTGAAAAATCTGAAAACTATTTTGTTTATCAAAGAACCTGATATTTGAATAGAAAACCAACAGAGAACACCTGGCTTTATTTTAGTCTACAGGTACTAACAATATAAAAACTGAGATGCTTTTTAAAAGAAAAAAAGATGCATATCTTGTATGTTTTATTACAAGTTTTTATATAACAAAAAATATAACAACAAATAACAAATATTGATGGCCTTTTCTGTTAAAACACACGGGAAAATCCTCAGTTTGAATAAAGATAAACAAATTAAATCATCTACAAATGTGTTGAACTGGATTTGGTAAATAACTATCCTGCGTGTATATGATCTGTGGACCATGGGCTGGACATGTCTGATTTAAATATAGACTTTCAAAATTCATTATATACTCACTAATCAAAATAAAATTTAGCAATGAAGAAGCAGTCTTGTTCTTTGGTGATGATGATCTGAGGGATTTTAAAATTGTACAGACAAAACTAGAGAAAGACTAATTATGACAAAATATGAACCTGAAATATCGAAGTTATTTTCTTTAACTTGGGCATTTTGTTTATCTTTTTCTTATTTTTTGAGATGAGGCCTTTGCTCTATGTAGCCTGGGATGGCCCCAAGCTCACAGAGAATCCATGCAGCAAAGGGGTGTGCCATCACATTCGGCTCTGCTCAACTGTAAATCTACAACATACTATTCTCATCTTCTACGTGTCGTAAAGAGAGCTAGTAACTACAGGGAAAATCATTTAAGGTGTCTTTACTATTTTACATTTTGAGAGGGGCCTCACTCTACAGCTTAGGGTGGCTTGGAACTCACTATTCTGGAGTAACTTTAAACTTATGAAAATATTCCTGCCTCAGTTTTGCAAGTGATGAGACTATAGGTATAAGCTACTCTGCCTGGCTCTTAACCTTTTTTCAAAAGGACACTTATTTATATAGTTATAATTAGTACTATGCGAATAAATTTAAAAACTACATTTTAGAACTCTTGATATCAAGCAGTTCTAAGACTAACATTTTACCTTATAAATCATAATGCACAGAAGGCTGGGTTCTTATTACCCTCAAACTAACTAGCAAATACTGTTTTAATATAATGATTTCACTTACATCAAACTGTGCCAGTACTGTTCCAGTAATAAGCCCCTCAGCTAGCTGTATCATTGACTCCCGCAGGGAATGGTCATCTTGATGGACACTATCTAGTGGGGCTTTCTCAGGAATATACTGGAAGTCAGGCTCGCTTTCTAATTTTTCTTCCACTACATCATATACAGCTAAAATAAAACAAAAAACATACATAAGAATTCAGTAAGAAATTATCAGACACTTCCTACAGATTCAGATATTAATAATTTCACTAGATTTAACTGATACCATTGTATAAGAACCAAGAATGGTGGTGGGTTTGAAAGGCCTTACATATTCCTTTGGAGAAAATGATTCTTTAGCTACATGCTTAAAATTTGAAGACACATTAAGAAAATGAGGCAGAATTAGAGAGGTGGCTCAGTGGTCAAGAGCAATTGATGATCTTGCAGAGGATCCGAGTCTAGTTCTCAGTATCCACATGGCAACTCATAAAACTCCTATCAGTAAGTTCTGAGAAACCAATATCCTTTTTTAACATTCTTGGGATCCTGTGCCCCTCTCTCTCTCTCTCTCTCTCTCTCTCTCTCTCACACACACACACACACACACACACACACACACACACACACACAAACACACACACAAATCCACCTTTACAAAAATAAAAAAAATGAGGCAGTATTGAGTTGAAGATCTGAATAGACCTGCCCTTAATTTCTAGGACATGAATCAATAGCACAGACAAAAGCCTGTACACCATTATATGTATGATATGTTGGCTTTTATCATATCAGTTGCATGTAAAATGAATTCAAAGCTAAACAAGCCTGCTTGACCCTTTCTTCTTCCTTTTTTGGCTTTTGTTTCTGTTTTTTGTTGTTGTTGTTGTTGTTGTTGCTGTTGTTGATGTTTTGTTTTGTTTTCCGAGAAAAGGTTTCTCTGTAGCTTTGGAGCCTGTCCTGGAACTAGCTCTTGTAGAACAGGCTGGCCTCGAACTCACAAAGATCTGCCTGTCTCTGCCTCCCAAGTGTGGGGATTAAAGGTGTGAGCCACCAACCACCTGGCTTGACCCTTTCTTCTTGAATTATTCACTAAGTATACTTCATGCTTTCTTAGTATAAGAAGAGTTCAGATCCCGGATGTTGGGTCTGTAAATACCAGGCCTACAGCTTATCTTCACTTCTCCCTCTCAGCTCCATTTTAAAGAAAATTAATTATTATTATTATTATTATTATTATTATTATTATCATGTATGGATGTTTTGCTTGAATGTGTATATGTTTACAGAGTGTATGTCTGGTGCCTACGGATGCCAGAAGAAGGCATCAGATCCCTTGGAACTGGAGTTAAAGGCCTTTGTCAGCCACCATGTGGATGCTGGAAACTAAATGCTGGTCCTTTGTAAAAGCAGCAAATGCTCGTAACTGTTGAGCCATCTCCAGATCTTTAACTCCATTCTTTAAAATGGGATCTATTAACACACTCATGAAGGGTTCACCTGTATGTAAATATTCTCTGCACATGACTGCTTCTTAGCCATCTTGTTCAATTAGGAAATATCATATAACATACTTGGAAGGAAAAAAAGATGATAAATCCACACTGAAAATGAGCAGAGGTCTCAGTCTAGACATCCTTTACAAGGCTTTAGCTGCGTTCCTCTTGGAATTTGAAGTGTAAAAGAAACAATCCAAATTGCAATAAGGCATTTGTCATCACAAAGACTTTTGTTTATATTCTGGTTCTGTACCCATCATGAACCTGTAAGTAGGTAATAAAATGTTTAAAAATATTTTCAACTCTGAGAGTAATTGATCTATCATGTTTGGTGGCTCTGAGAAATAAGTGAGAACGTACATAACCCTTGATGGAAAGAAAACTCAATAGCTACTAACCGTTATCATTGAGTGCTACAGGAGTTATTGAGAACAAAAGGGCAAAACTGAGAGATTGTTGTTGTTCAGAAATTGAGCTTGGAAACATAGTATGAAGCTTAAATAAGTTCCTCAGAACCAAAATGAATAGTCTGTGAATGCCTGCTTAATATTCTTAGAAAGCCATGGAGAAGAACACAAAATACAGAGGAAAAAAAATGTCAAAAAGGGAAGTTTTCTTTTCTTTAAAACTTATCTCACTGTGCCATTCTCACACATGAATACAATGAGTTTCAATCACATCACCACTCTCCTCCTGTATCCCTGCTGTAATGAAGACACCCTTCTACATGCACACCTTTTAAAATACAAGTCTGTGCATAATTACATATGCCTAGTGCTGATTAAATCTCTGCTGGTGGACACAGCTTCCTGCATAACTTGGCTATTGTGCTAGTGCTACAATGAATATAAATGCAGATAATGCTAGTATGTCCAGATGAAGATTTGACATGATTAGTCAAAAGGGCATCACCTAATGAAAATATAGTTATTAATGAAAACAACTGGTTGTGTTGTTGTTGCTAACTATGGCTTGTTATTGAAATTTTCTAGAAGTAGAACAGAAATTTCCTCTCTTCCACCTCCCATTCCTTGTCCCAAGACAGGAAAGACAGGGTTTCTCTATATAGAACACCCTGAACACACAGAGATCTACCTGCCTCCTGCATGCTAGGATTAAACACGTGTGTTACCACCACCTGGTGAGATTTACTTATTCATTAAACACTCACTGACTACATGACACTTCTACTGAAGTGGTTTGAAGAGGAGAGCCACTTTAGGTATGTATAGAAGAATAAGCAGAGAAAGCCTTCCTGAAGGAAGCAAAAATATGAGTTACATAAATACCAAGAATTATTTGCTGAGCAGAGGAAACAGCAAGTACACAGGCCCTAAAGTATAACAGGTTGGGACTTTTGGGAAACAGTAATAAAGCCACTGTATCAACTGAGATGAATGGGAGATAAAAGAACCAAGATTTGAGATTTTTTTAAAAAAATATTTATTTATTTATTTATTTATTATGTATACAATATTCTGTCTGTGTGTATGACTGCAGGCCAGAAGAGGGCACCAGACACCATTACAGATGGTTGTGAGTCACCATGTGGTTGCTGGGAATTGAACTCAGGACCTTTGGAAGAGCAGGCAATGCTCTTAACCTCTGAGTCATCTCTCCAGCCCAAGATTTGGGATTTTTGTTTCCAAAAATGACAGACGTCACTGTTATTTGAGTAAGAACTGGGTTGATGTGTTTAAAGAAGCCTACTTACTCTCAAGTCCAGTAATAAACCATAACAAATTATAACAACTTCCCAGTGCTAAATAGAGTACTTACCATTAGGTCGAACTAGAAGCACGAGCTCCCCAGAATGTCTCTCACAGCTGGCTTTAATAAACAAGACTACTTGATCATGGGTATGTTCTGCAATGTCCCGACCATTAATCAGTACCACTTGGTCCCCTTCATTCAATCGAGGGACACAGAGGTCAGCCTATAATATAATGTAGATAAATGTTCAGATATGTTTATGGTATTCTGAAAATATAGAAATTTACTTTTTATAGACTATAAAAGCAGAACTAAAACTATATATAGAAAAGCATCCACAGGAAAACCAAAACTACATATAGAAAAACATCCATGCAAGGCTAGGAAGATGACAAAGTCAATAAAGTGCTTGCTAGGTAACAATAAGGACCTGACTTTCAATCCCCAGAAAGCACATGAACATTAAGTGCTATAGTGTGAACCTGCAATCCCAGTATGGGAAGGCAGAACAGAATCCCTGGAACTTGCTGGTTAGTCAACATAGCCAATCAATGAGCTCCAGGTTCAGAGAGACACCATCTCAAAAACTAAAGTAACAAAGCAGAAAGTGACTGAGAAAGATGACAATGTCTAGTGAATACACACACACACACACACACACACACACACACACACACACACACACACACTTTCATCTATTTGAAAAGCAGAAATATTCTATTTTGTTTCACAGGTTCACTAAACAGATTCCTTCCTCATGGCAGATCATGTTCATAAAGATTCAGAAAAGATATCAAAACACATATATACAAGCAGCCTTAATTTTGTACTATTTAAATATATTCAACTTTAGTTCCCATAGCTTAAATAACAGTAATTCCTGAATGATATCCTCCAAATTTTAGGTTTCAGGACACATTGAGAATTACTGCATAAAGTATACATTTGCTGTTAGTGCTTCAGTCCAAAAATCATCTCAAAACCAAGCACTGGGGCAGGGGAGATAGATAGCTCAGTGTTTAAGAACAGTGACTGCTTTTCTAGAGGACTGGGTTCAATTCCCAGCACCACATGGCAGCTTACAACTGTTTGTAACTCCAGGATCTAACACCCTCACAGAGACTTATGTAAGGGCAAAATACCAATGCACATAAAATTAAAAAAAATGATTAAAAAGATAAAGAAAATAAAAGAAAAAGAAATATAAATAACATTTTCTATAAAAACATGAGACCAAGCATAAAGATGGGCTGGCCAGGCAGTGAAAGAAATGCTGTGACAAAGAGAAGGAGAAATGGACCAATCTACTAAATTTCCTACAAACAATGTCATAATACTCAGCAAGATAGTGTGACTACTGGAAAGAACACTACTTCAAATTTAAACTTATTCACTGCTTATGAGATGTCTGATCTTAGAGTCCAGCACTCAGAAAAATGCAACAAGAAGATACTTATCTTAATTTATGTTCTAGCATTGTGAAGATTAAAATGAGGCTAACTCAATCAAATGTTTTAAAATCTCAAATATTAAAATGTCAGCCTTTATTGTTTGTGAGGTTTACTTTTGGTGGTTATTTATTCAATGAAATAAATGCAAATATTTATATGGTCCTTTATGTAGGGAAATGCATCTATGTACCAGTTTGATTATGTGCTGTTATAAAAGTATGTTTAGGATACCCAAGGAGAAGTAGAACGGTTGCTACAGTACTGGGAGAAATGCCACTTCAGCAGAAGGAGCTGTCCTATCACATTACTGTGTGGGTAGTATTCTGGCAGAAAAAAGGAAGTGGTCTATGTATTAGAGGACATAAGTCTTCTATGAATCTTTCATTATACCCATTTATCACTGATGGGAATTTTCTCATATTTAACACCCCTTTGTTATTTTTATTTGCATTTTTTTTCGGATCTGAAAAGTAACACTTGCATACTAGATAAATTTTGTAAGAGGAACAGACATTGATTACAAGATTTCCATCAGGCGGTGGTGGTGCACTCCTTTAATCCCAGCACTCGGGTGGCAGAGGCGGGTGGATCTCTGTGAGTTCGAGGCCAGCCTGGACTACAAGAGCTAGTTCCAGGACAGGCACCAAAACTACAGAGAAGCCCTGTCTCAGAAAACCAAAAAAAAAAAAAGAAAGAAAAAGAAAAAAAAAAAGAAAAAGAAAAAAAAAAGAAAAAAAAGGTTTCTATACAGGGAAAAAACAATTAATGTGAATTATTCATTTCTGAGGTACCAAATATTCTATTTTTTTTTTTTTAAAAAATCGGTATTACAATACTTGAAACTGGGTTGGGTGGTGGTGGCACATGCCTGTAATCCCACCACCGGTGGTAGAGGCTGGCAGATTTCTGAGCTCAAGGTCAGCCTGGTTTACAGAATGAGTTCCAGGACAACCAGGGCTACAAAGAGAAGCCCTGACAAAACAAAACAAAACAAACAAAAAACAACTTGAAACTTTTTTTTTTAAGTTCACAACATGGAAGACTGTGGTGGTATCTAAATTAATCAAATAATTTAAAAATTATAAAGTTCTATTGCTTCAAAATGTTCTAAATTCAACCAAAATTTCTAAAGCATATTCTTTCTGCGCAGCAGAAGGGAGTAAGTCACCAGAAATACATACATCTCATAAGAGCAAAGCACATTCGGTGTCATGATTCAGATAATTAAATAGGAAGACAAAAAAAAAAAAAGTAAAAAATACCAGTAATTCCATTTTCCAGGAGAAACATTGCTAATATTTTAGCATGTTTCCAGATAACACACCAATAAGAATTATTCAATGATGAACAGAAAATTCATGACTGCGGAAGCTTAATGCTGAGTAATAGGGGACTTACTGTTTCAGATTCAATGCTTTTTAGAATGTACATATTAGGACTTAAAAATGATCCCATATCATTCCCATTTAAAATAATTTTAAAACAAAAAGTAGGCAAATAATGTACTATAATAAATGAAAAGAAAAAAGCAAACAGCAACAACAAAGCTATAATAAACTCCACCTTCACCTGCATGTGTTGAATAAGGAGGCCGTTTGGACAGAACCCACTGCAGCAGCGTTCAGGGACGGCTTCTTTCTAAGATACAGAGTCAAGTAAAATCTGTCTTCCCTGCAACTTACAATGTCGTCTTTACATTTAACATTTGGCACCTGAAAAGTAATAACTAACTTTCTTCCTTATTATTTAAGCAAATAATTTATTTTTATTTAATGTGTATGGTTTTAGTCACATGCATGCCTGTGCCCCACAAGAATGTCTGATTCCTGTGGAGAACATTGGATCCCGTTGAACTGGAGTTACAGGCAGCTGTGAGCTACGATGTGGGTTCAGGGAATTGAGCCTGGGTCCTCTGGACCAGTGTTCTTAACAGCCAATTCATATCAATGATTTTTTTTTTAAAAAGTACATATTCTGGGGATGAAAGCACTTGCTAATCTTCCTCCAGTTCTAAGAGATCCAATGTCCTCTTTTGGTCTCCACAGGCAGCAGGCATGAATGTGATACATATATATAGACAGGAAAAACACTCACACATGCAAAGCTAATTTTTTTTTAAAGTACAAATGGGGTTGGAAAGACGGCTTAGCAGTTAAGAGCGCTTGCTGTTCTTGGAGAGGACTCATTCCTAAGACTCATATTGTAGCTCACAATTGGCCTTAACTCCAGTTCCATGGGGATGCTGCACTGCATTCTGATCTCTGAGGGCACCACATGCACAAAAGGTACATTGAAACATATTACTCATACACATAAAAATGTTTTAGAAAGTACACTTGTTTTTTTGTTTGTAGCTCTGGTTAGTCTGGAACTCTGCACTAGGCTTAAACTCAGTGGAGATCTGCCTGCTTCTGCCTCCTGAGTGCTGATCATACCTGGCCCCAAAGTATATGATCTTTTTTGGTTGTTGTTATTCGAGATAAGGTTTCTTTCTCTTTGTTGCCCTGGCTGTCCTGGAACTCCCTCTGTGGACCAAGCGGGTCTCATGGTTTCGAACTCACAGAGATTCACTTGCCTCAGCCTCCTGAGTGCTAGGATTAAAAGTATGTGCCATCACCACCTGGCGCAAAAGTATATACTATTCTTAAAAGCAGTATTTACATAAAATTTTGGATAACTTACAGGTGTTCCTGGTGCTACACGGGACACAATTACAGGCATCTTCTGATCATATCCTCCCTGGAAAACATAAAAAAGTTAAATACTACCAAGCTAAGAATATCTTAATATAAAAACTAAATATGGACAAATTCCAGATTACCTTTACATTGAATCCAAACCTTCCATTTTCATCAGGTTTCATTTTGATTAGAACAAGATTATCATGTGGAATGCCACCATTAGGCTTGAAAAGACAAAAATAAAGAATTTTCAGATTACAAATAAAGTATATATTATATCTGTTTGTATTATCTATAGTATGTAAATAATTGTAATTCTAAGAAAAATGTTAGTTGAAGAAAATAAGTTTCTTTGCCTAATAAATTGAAGATGCATTCTCTCATTCTTCCTTCCATTTTACTGGCAAGAAAAGCTGGCAAATTGGAAGAATCAGCCATCTCCCATTCTTTAAATCTATGTAATACAGGTTTTCATCTCCATTATTCCATAACTAAATTAAGGGCAACAAATATTTTCCCATTGCTAAATCCAGTGTTATGTCTTAATTTTATTACATCCTATTGCCTACTTTTCCTTCTACCTTTCTGCCTGCATATTCTCAGTCTCTCTTCATCTTCCTTATTCTTAGAATTTGGTGGACTGAAGGCTCAGTTTCTAGAGCCTTTATTTAAATAACTACATACATTTCTTGATGATTCTCTATTCATGTGTGTGCGTTTGTGTGCATGGTTGTTTGTATAGGTGCACATGTATTTGCAAGTATGTGCATAAGTGTGTGGGCCTAATGGTAGAGGCTCCAGGGCAATCTTGGGTAGTAGACCTCAGATGCTATCCTACTTATTTTTTGAGAATATCTCTCACTAGTACCAGGGACTTACAATGTGGGGCTTGGCTGGCTGATCAATAAGCCAAAGATCCAAGTGTCTATACATTCTGAGTGTCTGTGTAGCCATCATTCAACCAACTAAGCTATCTTTCAGTTGTTTCTAAATACTTTTGAGAGAAACAAACTAGGGGGCTGGAGAGATGGCTCAGAGGCTAAAAGCACTGATTGCTCTTCCTGAGATCCTGAGTTCAAGTCACAGCAACCACATGGTGGCTCACAACCATCTGTAGTGAGATCTGGCGCCCTCTTCTGGTGAGTAGGCATACATGCAGATAGAACACTGTATACATAATAAATAAAAATCTTAAAAAAAAGAAAAACAAACTAGATTGCAAGTTGTAAAATAACAACTACCATGTGTTAATTGTTGTTGCATACCCACTACCATCAAAATGCAAGTTTGCCTCTTATTTAGTTTCCTAATATCTCTCTAAATTTCCTGAAACATATATACATGATATTCTTAAACAGGTAACATCACTTATGGCTTATTTAAGTCTTCTTGAGAAAGTAATAAAATTAATAAACCATTAGGATTCTAGCAGCTCTTCATTTTATTGTATAAAAGTATATTCTAGAGAAGCAAAAGTTATAAATTTCTTTCTTTCTTTCTTCTTCTTCTTCTTTTTTTTTTTTTTTTTTTTTTTGGAGACAGGGTTTCTGTGTAGTTTTCTAAGCTTATAGACCAGGCTGGCCTCGAACTCACAAAGATCCACTAGCCTCTGCCTCCTGAGTGCTGGGATTAAATGCGTGTGTTACCACCATCTGGCTTTATAAATTGTTTTTTAAGATCTACAGTGCACATACACTGCTGCACACTGAAATCACCACTAAGTTGTTAAGGCAGTAACTCAAAGCATTGGGCACTTTTCAAATGAAGAAAAAGGTAACACTATAATTGTATAAATCAGGATCAAAGAATCAAAAAAAAAGACAAAGTATTATCATTTACAACTAAAACATGGTATGGCTCAAAATAAACTGCATTCAAGATTTTAAAAGTTCAAAACAAATTGAGGCTACCTACAGTGGACTTTTCAGGGGAACAGGGCATATCAAAGGTTTCATTAGTATGGTTGACTAGATCTTGCTGAGAGTGGGAAAAATTAATTTGGTTCCAACTGTTTTTTTTAGATTGTTTGGGTGGTAAAGCTGGAGGCTGCCCATCTTCAGGAGTTTCTTGTGATCTAGAGAAGAAAAGGGCGAAAAATGAGTATTTTTAGTAATCATCTTATGGAAATACTTTATTCTAAATTAGTCAAGCAATCCAGATACCAACCATGTCTAGTGTAGAGAGGTTCTGAATATATTTACATGGAAATGCTATCTTTTAATTTAAAAAATTTTAAATTAATAAAGCTGTTTTTAATCAAACCAATAAACACAGAATTAAAGGTATTCATTCTTATGAAGATAATTTATTAATTTGCTGTAATAATATTCATACCTTTCCAAACATTTTTTTCTTAATTTTTTTAAAAGAAGTTTTGTTTTGTTTTTTTTAATGGAGGCATGGGTAGCCAGAGAGCATTGTAGGCAACAAGAAGTTAAAGAAGAATTGTGGAAAGTAAGTTCTTATTGACACGGACAGCATGTACTTCAGACGCAGGGCCCACAGGCTCGCTGAGCTGAAACTGACTAGCATGCCTCCTCACTGAGGACTAGCGTTCATAGTACAAAAAGGCTCCAGGAAAACTTCCAAAGAAGAAGGCAGCCAACAGTTCTACCTAACTATAGCACCTGTGAACCACAGTCATTAGCAAGGTACAATAACCCTAAGGGTATACAGTGGCATAAAAACCTTGGTAGTAACCAACAGCTTTCTAATTGGACTTAAGATCTACTCAACAAGAGAGATATCGTGCTTGGTAGTAGAAAGCTAGCCAGTTTCCCAGGACTAGAAGGCTCATAGATCTTGGACAAGAACTTATAGCCACTGCTTTAATAAACTAGCATAATCACAAACTACACTCTAAATATTTGTCCTTATACACACAAATAGGTATAGTTCTCGCCCCTCATCAAGAAACTCTTTGCAACAGATGGAGACCATTACAGAAAAACTAACCAATCAAAATGTAAAGCCATGGAGTCCAGTTGCAATGGGTACATCTACATAACTTCTGCATCTAAGGTTTTGAGAAAACTGCAGAAAAGAGGGTGGGAAGGGCCAGAGGATTAGGGGGTTCTGTGAGACTGTATTTCCTGGTAATATCAGAAGCCACACCCAAAGAGTGAAACCAACATAGCTGCCTATAAAAGAACTGAGCAAGGACAAAATGACAACAGATCATCCAAAGGGGATGGGGAAAACTCACAAGGCCTGAACTCTACACAAAAAACTACAGATAACTAAGGAATGCTGAGAGTAGGAGAAATACTCTTCCAGGAACGAACACACCAATTATTTATCTAATACCAGTCAGTCAGTCCTGAAAACAGACTGACCAATAACAGATAGTGTAGGTTTTATGTTACATATAACTATAACTATATATATGTATATATATAAAACTATATATATATAATTTATATATTATATGAATGAACACTAGCATGTATGTAACAATTAGTGAAAGAGGTCACGAATTTGAAAGACAGAAAAGGGGGTTTATGGGAGGGTTTGAGGGAGAAAAGATGGATTTATAACCTCAAAATAAAAGAAAAAAAACCCTGAGAATTGGGTGTTGAACAGAAAAAAACCTCCTGGTTGGTATAGTCTAAAGATCTTAAATGATTGTCTTCCTTTACTATGGCTCATGAGGTTAATAAATGCAACCATGGGACAGAGATCAGAGTATTTAAGGTCGTCATAGAAGAGACAAAAATCCATGGAATCTTGTCAGGTGAGAAAACAATATATAAACATTAAAAAGTATAACTCACTAATTTGCAGCAGTAAGAACTGATGGCTAGATATTCAGGAGAGATTTCAAGGTAGAAATTATAAGTCTTTTTCTTTTTTTGATTTTTCGAGACAAGGTTTTTCAGTAGCTTTAGAGCCTGTCCACTCTGTAGGCAAGGCTGGCCTCAAAACTCACAGAGATCCATCTGCCTCTACCTTCCAAGTAATGGGATTAAAGGAGTGCGCCACCACCACCTGGCAGAAACTATAACTTTTAAGAATAACAGTCTATAGAACATTACCAAGGCCATCTGCTAATTTGCTCTCCTCTAAGGCAGATACTAATACAAACCTGGGTCAGGAAAGAAAAAATCTATTAATGACTCTCTTTCCTAAGATACACACCAGGAGATCATGTCACAGTTAACACCAATCATTTAACCTGAAATTTCACTTAAACTAAAATTCTGGACCGGGTGGTGGTGGAGCATGCCTTTAATCCCAGCACTTGAGAGGCAGAGAAAGGCAGATTTCTGCGAGTTTGAGGTCAGTCTGGTCTATAAGAGCTAGTTCTAGAACAGTCAGGGTTGTTACATAGAGAAATCCTGTCTCAAAAAACAAACAAACAAAAAACAAAATTTTGGCTTAAAACTTAGGCTTCTTTTCTTTGGCTCATTTATACTGATGATAAGGGGACTTTTAAAATAAGCAATGTAGATGACTTATAGTTTGGACAATGAAATACTCCTTGCAGGCTCAAGTATTAAATATTTGGTTCCTACCTTGAGATAGTTACATTGGTAAGTTGTGGAAACTTAAGCAGGCAGGACGAACCTGCAGAAAGTAGTTACAGGGAGTAGATCTTCGGGGAGTACTTAGTCCCTGGTCCCTTCTGCTTTTCTCTCTGCTTCCAGACCACTATGAATTAGTGGTCTCTGCTGCACACCCTTGCTGCCATAATGCTCTCCTTTACCACGGGCCCAGAATCAACAGCCAAGGAATATAGATTGAAATCTATAAAATTGTGAACTAAAACACATCTATCTCCCCTCCAAGTGGTTCTCTCAAATATTTGGTCAGTTACGCACAAAAATAACTGGTGCTCAAGGGAAGTTAAACAGGCAGTTTAGAAAACACATGCAACCTTTCAAGAACACAATTAATATATAAAATAGAACTGTTTGGCTAGGTCTTAAGATTTACTTCATACTTCTAAAGCTTCAAAGTCAGAAAATATGACTGTTAAAACCCAACAGAGTTAGTTAAATTTTTTTAAGTAATAAAATATTAACGTTTTTCATCAACTTCAATTCTATCTCTTGTCAACTCAGTTTTTATAGGTTTCATTGTGCATGATATATCTGCTATATTCTTTCATTCCTTATAATGTAGACATAAGTTAGCAAGGCTAGACTTTTAAGTCTTGGCAGCATAGCATTGTTTGGTCTAAGGACAAGTGGTCATGCTTTCCCAGAATAGCTGTACCACTTTGCCGACCTCTTCATCTCTCTTTTATCCCTTACTCTAAGAGTTGGTCTTTCTTAAAGACTGATCACATTCTTTATACACTGTATCATATACTCCTTATTTCTAACTCATTAATTATTGCATAGAAATTATCCTTTAATTATATCTAAAGTATATGAGTTATTTCTACTGTATAAGCTAATAAATCAAGATTTATTTGATTCATTATATTAATGAGGATATGCATTAGACTGATGGCTATCAGTACTGAAATAAGAAACTGAATTTATTAATCAGCATAAAAAATGATAGTAGGGGACTGGAGAGATGGTTCAGTGGTTAAAAGCATTGCCTGCTCTTCCAAAGGTTCTGAGTTCAATTCCCGGCAACCACATGGTGGCTCACAACACAACCATCTGTAATGAAGAATATTGTATACTATATATATATATATATATATATATATATATATATATATATATATATATATATATAAATGATAGTAGGAACATACTTTAGAAATGATATGAATAGCCAGGAGTGGTATCACACACCTGGAGGGCAGAGATAGACAAATCACTGTGAGTTCAAAGATAGCCAGGACTACATAGGGAGACCTTGTTTCAAAACATGAAAAAAGAAAAAAAGAAAAGAAAGATATAGACATGCTTTCTATAACTGAGGGAGATAACCATCTCAATTACTTTTCCCTTGATACTTTTCATAACATATTATGTTCATATTTATGATTTCTTTCCTTTAAAAATATTTAAGAAGGCTGTCTTACATTCTACTCCCTGACTACATTATCATATTACTTGAACTAACACTTGAGAGCATACACTAAAAAATCAAAGAATAGTCAGTAACCAGAGTGGTAAAGAGAAAAGAGGCAATAAGACATTTCATCAGGCAGTGGTGGCACACGTCATTAATCCCAGTGCTCAGGAGGCAGAGGCAGGTGAATCTCTGTAAGTTTGAGACCAGCTTGGTCTACAAGAGCAATTTCAGGATAGGCTCCAAAGCTACAGAGAAGCCCTGCCTCAAAAAAAACAAAACAAAACAAAAAATAAAATAAAATAAGACATTTCAAGGACAAATAAATACATTTACAAATACATACTTACAATTACATAAGCAACACCTTGTTTCAAGTACTCTAATTTCCAAGACTATTTCAAGTGAAGAAATTTAATTTACTTTAAACTAAAGAATTAAGAAAACATTGGAAAGGGGGTCTTACGGTGATGATTCCAGAACTATGCTATTAGCTTGCGTTGATGATGGAGATCTCTGATTTACAAAACCATCACTGGGGGATGTGTGAACCACATGGTCTACCAAATGCCCAACAGAAGATGGCCGGACCCGGGTCCCTTCTTGTGGGAATGCAGAACTCCGACTAAATGAAGAGAAACAAAGGCTGAAGAAAAGTATACTTTGAATTTTCCATGTTTTTTGATTATCTGGTTTCATCTTAAAGTGGGTATATATGTTTGTGTGTGTTTTGAAGACTATGTTGACTAGGCAGAATCTCTAACAGTGATATAAACAGAAAGAACACAACATGGGAAGTCAAGACATGACTGCCATCTACGTCTACCATAAGGCCTTTACCCATTCTACTTTACTAGGTTTCACTTATTACTAATCTTATGCCTTATTCAAAATTATGAAACTGACCAGAATAAATGTTCAGAAATAAGAGTCTAGTCTCTGTTATGTTTTCTTCTTAGTGTTTTTAATTTTGTGGAATTTGAATTCCTATGATTATATAATGATGAAGAATCCCACTATTCCTAACCAGCAGTTACATAATTACCATCTTTATAATTATAATTGCAATAGTGAATAACTGAGCACTTGCTATGTACTGGGCATTTTTCTAATTATTTTTTTATTTGTTATGTCCTTTAATACCATAATAAAACTGTAGGACACTTACTATAACAAAGATGCTGAGATTAAAGGCATGTGCCATTGTGTTTATCTATCTACAAATAGGACTTAGCAGATGAGAAAATGGGATGGAAATTAACTTCAAGATTTAAACATTGACTCTAGAGCCACTGCCTCACTGTACTTTTCCCCCAAATCATCCTTAAAATTATTTCATTTCCTAGAAAACTTAATCAGAGCTATTATTATTTAGATCATCTCTCTTATACTCTTACCTGCCCTTCCTTCCCCTTACCCCAGCCTGCCCCCACTCCCTCTCCTCCCCTTTCCTTGCCTTACTTCTCTTCCCTTGCCCTCCCTTCTAGTGTGGGAAATCTGAGGAAGTCTTCCCTTTGCAGTTCAGACAGGGTTAGAGCTGCAGCACACAGCTTTTGGTCCAACTCTGCCTGAGCTTATGAGGCTGCTGTTAGAAAGCATTTTTTAGGCCAGAGGAAGTGCTGAATAGCACTGAATAACAAATATTCAAACAAAGCATTTTCCAACAATTTACACCTTCTTAGCAATCCTGGTATTGCCAGGAGGTGCTGGGACACCTTTAATCCCAGCATTTGGGAGGCAGAGGGAGATGGATCTCTGTGAGTTCAAGAACATAGCAAGATTCAGGACAGCCAAGGGCTGTTAACACAGAGAAACCTGTTTCAAAAAAAAACAAAACAAAACAAAATCGAGGTGGAAATCTACATGGAAATGGACTACATAAACAACAGCTCTATGGAATTTTGAAGTCATGACTAGATACTTAATTACCCTTCTTGTGAAAGTCAACTGCTGAGGAAAGTGAAGGTTGTCCTTCAATCTTCTCGTTCATTCCCTACAGCAATTTTAAGACCACTTTTAACAGTGAGTAGCAAAAAAAGGGGCAATAATGCTTGAAGTAACAAAAATCATGTTTGGGTCTGGTAAGGTAGCGAATTAAGTAAAGGCATCTGCCACCAAATCTGAATACCTGATTTCAATCCTGGGGACTCCCACAGTGGAAGTATTGATTCCCCCAAGTTGTCTTCTAATCTCCATATGCCCTCACATATAAACAAACATACACACAAAAGTAAAATAAAATAAAAGTATTTTTGAAATTTTGATCAAAGGATTTAAATTTTTATATATTATGATGTTTAGGCAATAAAATATGTAGCCAATAACTTAGAAAGTAGCAAAATGCAAGTTCGATGCTGGATTGACACTTACTGATTGGGAGTTCCAGGTGGAGACCGGGATGGGAGGCTTTGTGTTTCTAACCTGTCATCAGACAACGAATTTCTGCTGACTACTTCCCAATCCATTAATTTCCGTGCCAAAGGCTTACTTGGAGATCTGTAGAAAATTTGAATAATACATAGAAAAGTTATGTTTTTATATAACATATAACTATGAATCAAATCTTAAAATTCATTTTAATAGATTATATTCAATGAGTTTGCTTACAAAATGAGTTGTTTTGACAGTATCAAATAATTTCAAAAAGGCTATATTTGCTTTGTAAGACAAAAAAAGAAAGATGGGGCTATGAAGAATAAGATAGGAAACAGGAAATTAAAAAAATAAAAGAGAAGCAAGGTAGTAGTTAACTATCAAACATCTTCTCAAATTACAAAGTTACAGATCTTTGTTTACGTCTATTCTGGAGTACTCCGGATGGTATTTATCACGAGATGTACTAAACAATACTCACTACATTATCTTCTCAATGACTTTTAATTCTGAACCTTCACTTCAATGAGGAGAAGATCAAAAAAGATAATTGTACATACTACATCTATAATTTCTCTTTTATATAGAGTATGATCAGTGAATTTCTTTTCCCTTCTTTTTGTAAAATATTTTAAAAACTACAATATCTTGTGGCAGGTAATAAAAGGATATTTTTAAAAGACATTCTATTTTTAATTGTATGTATGTGTTCTTGTGTGTGTGCGTGTGTGTGTGTGTGTGTGTGTGCGCGCGTGGATGCATGTGAGTGTAGGTGCCTGCAAAGGCAAGAAAGCGTCAGATCTCTTGGAGCTGGAGCAACAGACTGCTGTTAAGCTGACTGATAAGAATTCTGGGAAATAAACTTTAGTCCTCTGCAAAAGTAACCACTGTAATAATTTTAGCAACATAAGGCTGATACTTCCAGGTTCTAAGGGTCATGCAGGTACAGACAAGCCTTCAGGCAGAAGGACCTAATGGCCCTTGGGGGATGTTAAAGGGCCCCAACATGACCCATGTGCAGCATGATTATATTATCTACATATGATTCAGCTAAGCCCTTGCACACATGCATGAGCCCCGTCAACTGCCTGCATATGATGTAGCCACGACAAAACCCTGTGCGCATGCACTAGGCAGCTTTTAAAAGCCCTCTCTCCTCTCCCTCTCTGCACACTAACTTCCCCAGGCCTGTACACGCCCCCTCTAATAAATTCCTAAGTGGGTTTGTTGTATGTTCCCTGTTTCTTTCTTACTCGCGCCAGGTAATTTCAGTAACAATGGCTCCCATCCACTGAGTAAGGATATGTTTTATTATCTATTATCAGCTATCATAGAAATAAAACAGAATTAAGTGATCCCCCCCCCAAATGCTAATCTCCACAGAGCAAATGGTATTAATTATATTCAGAGATATAAACCCTTATAATTTTAGGAATATTAACAAACAAAGTTTTTTAATATGCAAGTTCAAGTACTACCTAAAACTCTTCTAAATAAATGTGTACTGTTTTGATATCTAGAATTATTCTGGAAGTTAATTCAATGAATTAAGTAACTTAAATAAACAAAATAAAACACCCAATATGGCATTAAATCTCAGCAATAAATTCCTTAAGACTCACAAAAATCATGTATGTTATTTTCTGTTACATCACAATAAAGCAAATAGATACCATCATATTATTGTAAAAAGTCAGATCATAAAAAATTTAAATAAAACACTTATTTGTATAAAATAATACAGCCAAGCAGCAACATATATGAACTCAAAGTGGTTGTGACAGCATACACAAAAGCTGTGTAAGTCCAAGCCAGACCAAATCCCACCCTAGCTGAGGAGCTATTGGCAGTTCTTAGCTGCCAAGGGAGGAAAGGTCAGTTTTCTCTAACAGTGAAGCCACTGATAAATCAAACATGTTCTACTGAAAGGCTACATATTCAAGAATATTTGGGGCAGCACAAATTGGTCTTGATGGAGAAAGCAAAACAAAAACCATGACAAGCACAAAGTTGGAGGGCAAAAGAAGTAAGGAGGGGAATAGAAAAAGCTGGGTGAGAGAAGGTGAATATGATCAAAATACATTATTCAAAATTAAAAAAAAAACTTTAAAAATGTGTATCAAAAGGCAACAATTTTTTCAGTGTGGACCCATAATACAAAAAAAAATCTTCATTCTGTGAATTTTATTTTCAGACTTTCCAATAAAAATAAAGACTGCATTTACTGCTATATGTAGTTTTTAGATTATTGGATTTAGAATATTACCTCAAAAATTGTTCATAAGTTTCCCTTTTTATCATGTATTATGTACATACTTTTACATAAATTAAGAAAAGTACCAGTCAAGGCACAAAATAAAAGTAAATTTAAATAATCCAGATATGTTCAAATGGTAAAATCAGTATGTAGCCAAATTTCAAAGTTTGCAGTTGCAGCCTACAATTTGCTTAGTGACATATTAATTACACAAACAGAATAGCTTGAGAGAATGATATTTCATAGTGCTTTTGTGTCACAGAAGGAAACATTAAAATAACCATGCCTACTAGGGACACTGAATGCTAATTCCAGCCCCATGCTAGAAAAATTATTTAAGTTTCTATACTCAATATCTACATTCACCAGTGTAATAGGGGTATTACAATGTCCTTCCTTACCACTTCGATTTTATGACTTCACAGTCATAAACACTGTAGTTTTTAATGCAATGTTTTAGCCTCTTAAAAGGTTAGGTTATGAATAATAAATACTTAAAACCTAAATCATGCAAGTGTCATATCATTTTAGTATTTTAGAGTCAAACACTCTTGATTTGGTCTACTCTCTTTCACCATAAAACAAATGGGTATCTTCTAAAAGAGATGCGGTGCTACTGGTAATACAAACCAACAAGTAAGCAAACAAATACACAAAAATAAATGGACTCAAATGAGCAACAAAGGAATTTAGCCACAAATACTTCTTCCTATCATTTTGAGTTTAACTCACAGGACTTCTTGACTTGAACTCAGGACACCAACAGATTCAGTTACTCACAATGGAGGGCACATACTTACACATTAGTTACACAAATGACAATATATTATGTAATGTCTTCAATTAAAATAATAAGAATCTTAAACTTACCATAATTTACCATCTATAGTTCTTTTAGTATTAATCCTTAATAGTCACAAACTATTCTTTCCTCATAAGTTAGACTAAACTAAGCTGTGAGAGCTAATTAAGATCAATTATAAGAGAAGGAAAATGATCATTTGGAAATCGAGCATACTTACCTAGCACCAATTGTCTGAATACTTTATTCTTGGTAACGAACTAAATATGTTTGTAAATGTCTTGAGTTTAAAAACTAAATTTCAGGCATTTTACTTTATTAACAGTTTTAACCTCAGAGACCCACCCACTCAAGTTTGTTGTCTATGTTTCCTGTTCTGTGCGGAAATTTCGGAGAAAAAAATACCACACTGTTAACAATGTGGTGAGTTTATTTTCTGACCGGGGCACCTTATTTTTCTGTTGATGAGAACTTGGTTCTTCTCTCTTCCTTGAATATTATTATAAGATAACATAAAAAGTGTGAAAGCAATTCAAAGAGTTGATATATAAGGGAGAAAAGGCTTATTGGTAAATTTTTTCATATTAAAATTGAAGACCTTTGTTAACTTTCTATTTTTATGGCCATCTAAAATTCAGAGAGACAAGAAATTTGCAAATGACTTATCACTTTATAAAACCATTAGAGAATTTTAGTAGCTATGTATGAAGTAAAAGCCTTACATAAAATATTCTCAAGGAAGTATAACTCTCAGAGACAGAGCAATCATTAGGATGCCCCAGCAATATTAAAACTGCTCCCATGGACAAGAACACACAGCTACAGAACAGAACATTGCCTAGCATGTGTAAGGCCCTGAACTTGGGAACCTAGTACCCTAAAAAAGAAACACCTACGCCCCATCCACTTTTACACCCCAGCAAACAAAGACAGTACTATACAAACTTAATAGCATTTTAATAATGAATATACAAAACAATGAAGATGTATGAATATCTTCATATTTCTAAAATCTAATATGTTCAAAACAATGAAAACAACACAATAATTTGATTTTTAGAAATATGGGAGTACTGCAAATAAGAGACAGTACAAAAAGCCAGAACAAATTCTTTCTAACTTAGAATTATATTGAGAAGAAGTAAAATTATTTCTTTTGGACAGTTATACAGAAAACACTTTAATTTTCTAAGCAAAGTCTCTTTTTCCAGGTCCATACAACTTTCTGATTGGAGCACTGGACCAAGATTGATACAACATACACACACAGACACACACCCCCTCTTGAGTTTATGCAAGGAAACATCTTGAATAACACCACAAAATTTGTAGGGCTGTCTTGGATGATTTATTTTTCAAGTCATTTGATATTGTTGGGATTTTAGAATATAATGAATTGTCACTCATTGTTAGAAACAAGGAGCAATTTTTACTTTGGAAGGAATTAAAAAGAGAAATGGCAAAACCAAACATAAAACTATTTCTTAAAGAAACATAAAGGTGGAAGATATTAAGAATAAAATTTTGACCAAGTAAAATTCTTTTGTTATCTTTATTAAAGCTTCCAAGTCTCTAACAGCAGTAGATGCCAGATATACAACTAGTACTTCAGGGTTTGAAGCTCTTTAAGTAATTTCCACTAGGAACAAACTCCTGATTCACTATGCCTGTTGTCATCGGTCAGCAGCTGATGTTAGTTCCATCAAATTTGTTGCCTTTCCTCCATTAGTGTGTAGTAAAGCTCTTTATTATTCTTACTTGGATAACCGTAACTATCTCTTAATTAGTCACTAGGTATCAAATCTATACTTTACAAACACATTATTTTTCTGAAATGTAAATTTGATTGTATCATTTCTGTCACTAAAAAGCAAACTGGCCCTAACAAATTTTAATGAAGGGAAGATAATAAATTTTTCAAAAAGGCAAATCAAAAGTATCTTATCTTTTAATAGCATGATTTAAATAAATATAAAAATAAGCTGGATAATAGGACTCTGTACATTTCTCAAAAACATGTAACAGGAAAGTAACTTTCCAACAAAAGGTTGTATAGTGATACTTGATGTAGCCTATTCAAACCTACTGTACTCAATGCATGATTAACGTTCATAAATATGTAACAAAATAACCAGGACATTAGACAAGCTAGTCTCCATTTCATAAACACAGTACGTTGTTTAATAGATCATTTAGAAAACATTGCCAGTAATTTTAAAAATTTGCTTATTTTATGTATATGTGTGTGCTCCTGAGTATACGCATACGCACTACATGCATGCAAGAGTTCATGGTCCAGAAGAGGGCATCAGATCCCTGGACCTGGAGTTACAAGCAGTTCTAAGCTACTATGTGGTGCTAAGAAATGAACTCGAACTTTTAAAAGAGCAGTAAGTACATCTAACTACTGAGTCACCTCTCCAGTCCCCATTTCTAATAATGTTTATTCTTTGAAAAACTCATGTATTTGTTGGGCTGGTGAGACAGATTAGTAGGTAAATAAAAGTGCTTGTTGCTAAGTCCAACAACGTGAGTTCAACCTCAGGACCCACATAGTGGAAGGAGAGAACCAACTTGCAAAGGTTGTCCTCTCACCTTTGCACACACACAGACATGTGTATGTGTGTAATATATCAGAAAATAAAATTATAAAATGTAAAAACAAACAAACAAAAACCCTCAGATAACTAAAACAGAATTGACTTACCTTGCAAATACCCTGTCTTTATTTGCCTTTTCTTTGCCATATTGAACTGACTGGACTTCTGTTCTCCCACTGAAATACATAAATATGCATAATATCTTAAAGGGGACTACAGGATAAAATGACAATATAGAGCATAATTATATTATAATTTATAAGAGACAAGACATTTATGATGACAAGAAGAACAATAAAAGCAGCAGAATAAGAAAGACTGGATTACTTTCCAGTTCCACTGGGATAGGCAAAGCTTAATTAGCAGTTTACAAGATGTGTCCAATAGACACAAATTTGATGACAAGAACCTCTTTCCTGTTGTCCCTACTAACATGTTCTCTCTAGAGTTAGAGATGCCTTGTATCAAACAAGCTTCACAGCCCTGACTTACGCTACAGGCATAGTTAGCTAATGTCTCCATTACATCTAATTGATGAGCTGAACTTTGTGGTATCTTGGATAACTTTTCTTTCCTTTTCTACTACCAATTATTATATCTATGAAGACAGCCTATCAACTCCTTCCATGGCCCAATGCAGAAAATTTCAGATTTTTGAATATAGGAAAGAAATGAGGTCAGAAATATTGGGGATGCTGGGCACAATTTTTGCCTTGAAGTTTATTTGCCTAGAAAGCACACTGTGTACACAGAGGAGATATCTATCTGGTCATTCTCTGTGGTACATCACAGAGAATGTGTGTTCAGTTAACTATGTTATTGAAAGAGTAGTTCTCAGTGAATCGATGAAGACAACCTGTTACTGAGGTGTGAATGAACATAAATTTCTAGTACGGAAAGTAGAACCATTTACAACTATAGATATTTATTGTATATAAAAGTAGCCAAATATATGTTCTCACAGCCACACAGGCAAATTTCAGACTACATTCGTAGGGCAAATTTAAATAGTTGTGAACTAAATGGTATGATTGATTTTTAATGTAAAAATGGGAAACTTTTATAAAAAAATGTTGGTTAATGTTTCCTAGAAAATTATATTGCCTCTAAGACGATCATATATTCAGGTTTACTAGTTTAATGCATTTAATCCCTTGGATATATAGAATTGGAATAAACACATATGTAAACAGAGGTGGTTAAGAAAGCAATAAACCTTGTTAATCTTTCCAGCTCCACTTTTTATTTTCAATAATATTTCAACATCTTAAATATAACAATAGCATCAGTATTCCTAGTCATTGCTTACCATGAGGGGAGGGAGTTAATCAATGTCTATTTTGGGCATGTCTATTAAAGAAAGAATTGTATGCAGCTAGACAGATCATGCTGACTTTACTACTTCACTTGCAAGACAATTCACACTTAATAATTTAAAAGTGCTTCAGATACATTCTAAAGTTAAGAACTACAAACACAGAACTTAACTTTTGAAACTATAAATTATATGACCTGTGTCTAAACACGAATATGAAACGGGCTGTCACAGCCCCTAATTCTGTACCCCTGGGCTTTGCTACATTTACCATGGGGCTATAATTGAATACACTCCACATTCTTGATTCCTTTCCCACTTTACTTTCTGCTAGGATCTGCTTTCACAATGTGTAGAAGAAGAAAGATCAGAAAAGTAAGAAAAACGCAAAGTAGTACTGGGAGCTGCTTCAGAAGACCCGGGAACAAAGAGCAGAGAAGCACCACACCTTGAGGAAGCAGTACTTCTGTGACAGGCCCAGGTCTAACTGGACTGGCCATGATAGTATCTCTGAAGTATAGTAGCAGGTGTAGGCTCAGGGAATTCAAACCAAGAGTGACCCTTGCATATTACTCCTCTTGCATACTTGGTTCTCAAGAATCACCCTTCCTTAATGTACTTTCCCATTTTTGTTTGTTTTTTGTTTTTAAAAGACTATGTAACCAAGCCTAAGTATTGATTTTCTTTTACACAAAATATCAAAAAGAAATGTGAGTTTCTCTAACTCAGTCCTGAGTGATATATGAATATGGCAGTAAAGTAGATTGAAATACAACTCTATTGCTCAAAAGGCTGGAATAACAAGTCAAAGTTCATAGCAAGCAGGAATAGCTGAATGTTCAGAGGGATTTATATTGCATATTTTCTATAACATACTCTTGAAGAGTTAAAATAATATAAAAATCTTTAGCAATATTAGGATACCAAATTGTGACAGTACGAATTTAAAAAATGAGGAACTACCAACTGTTACATACATATACATAAGCTTATTACAGTAACTTGAGTAATTAAAAAATATAATGAAAAGGACAACAAAATATAAGTTGGTCTTCAGTTGGAAATAATCATTACAAAAAGATAAAAAACCATTTTGGGGGAAGGGCAGTGGTGGTGCACGCCTTTAATCCCAGCACTTGGGAGGCACAGTTCAAGGCCAGCCTGGTCTACAAGAATAAGCTCCAGGACAGGCTCTAAAGCTACAGAAAAACCCTGTCTTGAAAAACAAACAAAAACCCATTCTGGAACTTCGTATATACTGACTTAGAAAGAATGTTGTACGGTCAGAGTAACCTAATTGACTATTTTTTTTTCCTTATTTTATCTAAGAGCTGTTTGAGATGAACTGGAGGTTAGCTACTACACTCTACTCATTTCTTTGTAGTCTAAATGAAACCGTGTGTGGATCCTTGCATAATTACACTGATGGTCACGTAGGAATTAAACTCATTTAAAGAATATCTTTAAAGGTTAGCAATGTTCTCCCCTTCAGAGAGAACTGGAGTGCACTGGACATTCCTGTCCCTGCTGAAGCTATCAGCAAGAACCTGTGTTTTCTTGATTGTCATCATTGACCTGACACTCTCTTCCTCAGTATACTTAACCATTAAAATGGCAAGTACTGCATAGTATCTTTCCAAATACTGCTTTTAGAAAATTAAAAAAAAAGAAAAAGGCTTTGCTAAAACATGTTGTCAAGCTACATAAGATTATGCTGTTTTCTTTTTTGGTAAAAAAGAAAAAAAAAGATTAAATTCTACTTCATGGCTGATATTGAATTCCTATACTTACATTTCTTTCCTTGCGGTGACAGGCATGTATATTAAGTGATATATCATGCACAAATGCTGTTATTGTATTTACTGATATTATACGTTGAGCATTTATAAATATTGGGGTTTATGTTAGTAATCTTTTGGAAGTATATCTAAACATTTTTAAAATAATATAACAATTTATTCCATCATAAAATAACAGAGATGGAAAGTCACCAGTAACTTTTTCTGCATGAGTCGTACTAGATTCCATTTCAAAACTAGCTTTTATGTGTTTAGACTTCTACAGATAAAACTAATCAGGGCTTATTTTTTGTTCCCTTTGGGAGAATTTTTTTAAAAAAGTTAATAAATGCCAATGTCACAGCTGAATAGGAAAATTATTTCTCATATAGCACAGAAAATCCATTATGATTGGCATTAATTGTAAATTTCAAAATAGGTAGTAGACAGAGTTTAGAATATTCCCAACACAAGGGCATGATGTACATCTGAGGCTATAGATATATCTGGTGATTACATGCTGCATACACATCAAAGGCCACACTACATCTCATTGTGTGTTCATCAAAAAATTACTTTAAAGAGAATAAGTAAAATATATTTAAGGGGACTGGAGAAACGGCTCGGTAGTTAAGAGCACTGATTGCTCTTCTAGAGGACTGAGGTTTGATTACTAGCACCTGAGCAATAGCTCACAACTGTCTATAATTCCAAACTCAGGGGATCTCTTCTGCCTTCTCTGGGCATTGCTCACATGTGGTGCATAGATATATAAGCAGACAAAACACCCATACACAGAAAATAAAAATAAAGGAAAAACTTTTAAGACATAATTTTAGGAAAAGTTATTTCTCTGAATTCATGCTGAATTATAGACAAAGAATACAGGAAAAGGTCAGGATCTAGGGATCTTTTTTGTTTGCTTGCTTAATGGTTGTTTTGAATTCTTTCAGGCTGGATAACTCCAAAACCTGCTAAACTGTAGACTATATATTGGCTTTTACAAATGAAATGAACATATCTTATAGAAAAGTTTCCATATATATAATAAATAAACTGGAAACTATAAAATCTGTTGAGATGGTAACTATACAAATATAGTTAATTACTAAATAAAATAATTATACAGCACAATCACAAGCACAGGTCTTCAAGCTTAGTATGCATCACAAGACATCATATGATGTACTGATACAGACGTATAGAAAGGATTTTGACTCTGTAGGTTTTGGAACTAACAATGATTCTATTGCTTTGTATATAGATCTTTAATGAATTCATTTATTTTTTAAATCTATTTTATGTATATGGGTGTTTTGTCTGTCATATGTCTGTGTACCATATGCATGCCTGGTGCTCCTGGGGGCCAGAAGAGGATGCTGGATGCCATGAAACTGTGGTTGCAAATACTGAGAACTGCCATGTGGGTGCTGGGAATTAAACCTGTGTCCGTCCGGAAGAGAAGCTAGTGTTCTTAATCTATGAGCCCTTTCTTTAGCCCTAGACCTTTAATCTAAAGGTAAGCGGAAACAAAATCTCCCCAAATAAAGTGTTAGTACAAAAGTAGTACTTACCAGTACCGGAATTTGGAACCCAGGGTAAAATAATGAGCAAAAAAATTCTTTTGAGGTGGAAGTGGTCTATCCAGGCGGAAGAATGTATGATGTTCCACACATGCTTTCCACAAGTTTTTACAAGCTCTGTAATTCACCATATTAAATCCCAGCAATGTTTCTCTAGATTCATGCTATATTAAAGGACAAAATTCAGAGAATATTGGAAAATATCAGGATCTGATAATACTTTTGACAGATAAATTAAGCAAGTCCTATAAATGTTAATATCCTCCTTTATGATTTTGTTTATTCAACAACGACTCAGTGAACTAAGTGAAAAGATAAGTAAAATGCACTATAGTAATTTTACAACTTTTAGGGACTTCTATTCTCAATCATAATTAGAAATAAGTTTAATTTTTTTTTACCATTTTCAAATTTTATTAGTTATGAGTCTGCTTCAAAATATAATCCCGGAACATAAATTAAATTCATAATAGGTCCACAAATTGCAATTATACCTTGAATAAAGATAAGAATACTCAGCACCTTCAAGCACTATTACAAAATCACATTATAAACTGACTAGTGCTAAAACAGAATAACTTTAGTTTTTCTTTTTTGCATAAGCCACATTACAGCAAAGCACATATCTCCTGAGTTCTGACTCCAGACAATGCGACCAGTCAATGCAGACTATGACAGATCGTTCTATGCCCCCTGGTAATACTCTCTATTCCTTCTTACACTAGATTATCTTCTAATGATAATTACCTTGTTGTCATGACCAAAAATTAGTCATACTTGTTTTAATTTTTCATGCATTCTATTGTAATATAGCACAACAGTTTATCTACTGATTATAGACATATGATATTTCCCATTTGGAATAGAAGAGTAATGTTGTATGTGTGTATGTATATATGTATGTGTGTATACACACATATATATGTGTGTGTGTATGTATATATAGGTGTGTGTGTGTTCCTAGCATCTGTATATATACATGTACATATTTCTGTACCTAGATCATAACATATATGTTTAGCTTGAGTGGTCAATACTTCCAACAGCAGAGTGTGTTTTATCTATATCCTAACCAGTTCTGCAATTTTCTACTTTGGTTTTGTATTTGTTAACTGAGACAGCATTTCACACTGTACCTTAGGCTGGCCTGGAACTCACTATGAGGTTCAAGCTGGACTTGAACTTATGACAGTTCTCCTACCTTATCTTTTGGGTATTGCATTATAATCATGTACCACACCATCTAATTTCAGTCTTTCTTACTTCACTGCCTTGATAGACAGGCAGAAGTGGAACATTTTGGTTGTGACCTATACCTATTCTAGTTGATTAATAAAATTAAATATCCTTTCATGTTAATGGTCAAGTGGATTTTCGGAAGGGGGGTTGGGTAAAGCACGGCCTCTTCTGTAGACCAGGCCAGGTTATTTGTGGCAATAACCCTCTTAGTTTCTTAAATGCTGGGATTATAGCTTTGGGTTGCCATGTTTACCTTGTATTAGTTTTTAAGGCAGGCTCTCACATTGTGTAGCCAAGGTTGATTTTGAACTCACAACTTTCTTGTTTTAACCTTGTTAAGTATCTGGCTACCATGTGGATACTGTCCTTCCTGAAATTGGTATTCAAGTCACTGGCATATTTTCTGTTGGATAGGATATATATATATATATATATATATATATATATATATGGACTTGTACAGGCATGTATACTACATATATAGTCAGTGCTACTTTACTCTCTTAAGGAGACCTCTTGATGAACAGTTACCAGTTTTGAAACAGTCCAAAAAGATCAATTAATTATCTTTAACGTTAAGAACTCCTATGCTTTCTTCAAGGAAAATTTTCATCATGGAAATATTTTCCATAATTAAGTCATAATAAAATGTTCATATATAAGAATATATTTCATATTAGAAGGCAAAATAATTAAGCATAACTTGTTGATCACTAGAAAATTAAATGTACCATTAACAATTGTTTGTACATGCACTATTAGTTTAAGTGTTATATACTATATAATGAATATTATGAAAAATGACAGAATGTCTCACAGAGCATAATACAGAAACATTCTTAGTATGTGTGCACTATGATGTAGATATATTACCTCCCTCTTAAACAATTGCTTCAAACAGTCTGCATATAATTTGGACACTAACTGTACTTGAAATGCAATAACAATTTTTCCAATTAAACAATGGACATAAAGCATCTTAAAAGTGCAACAGGCCAAGCAGTGATTTAATTAAAAAAAAAAAAGAGTAAGTGCAACAAATTAAAGTTTGGATTTGATGCTGTGGTTTAGGCACAAAGTCTGGCTTTGTAGCTCTACATGTCTGAAACTTTCTATGTAAACCAGGGCTAGCCTTGAACAAGCAGCTACCCCACAATGTCTGCCTCCAGAGCACAAGGATTGCAGGTGTGCATCACTACACCTGACTATAAGTTTGGATAGTTATAAACAAATGTTGTACAAACAAACATTGGCAACATGACCTTCTGTGAAGTATTCCTGTATGTGGTCTTTAACCACTCCCTATTTGGCTTTTGATACTAACTGATACAATCTCTGAGAGAACAAGTATGAGAACTAAATAATAAAAATGGTTCATATATTACCAGGCACATATTGTTTTAAATAAATGTTACACTTCATAATTGTTGTTGTTGTTATTATCATTATTACTAATAACACATTCACCACAATGAGGTAAACTAGAAAAGTTCCTTCTACAACTCTCTATAGTTACTCCAAGTAAAATATCTGTTCTCTAATGTCTGGATAACAAGATTCATTATACTTTCTTCTCTGGATATTTACTCATACACACACAGTGTGACTGTTCTGTACCAGGATTAGTCATAATATTCCCCACTAACAGGAGAATGAACTGATAGTTTATGGCATATGCACTTAGTAGAATATCACACAATAAGGAACCATGCAACATCATGGATGTCAGTACAATAATATGAATTACACATAGTGAAGGAAAAGAAGGCAAACACAAATAAACATGCTATATGGCTTCATTTATGAGCTATGAGTGTCAACTAATTTATGACAGTACAAATGAGAATAATGCTGCTTATCTGTTGGTAAGGTTAATAGCTGGAAGTGGACACCTCCTCCATTAGCACAGGACTAGGTCATGCTCTATGTATTAATATGAGTTTATCAAGTATATACTTAAGGTCTAAGTATGTTCCCGTACTAAATTTCATTTTGGTAAAAATTCTATTTTTAAAATTCTCCCATATTTGGTAAACATAAATGATAAACCATAATCACAAAAAAATAAGACACTTTCTTCTAACAGGTGGATATTGTAGCTAATTCAAATACAATGTTAAGATTTTAAGGAAATTTTACACATACACATCTTAAAAAAATGATGTGAGATTCCCGTCTGTATGCTGTGACTATCCCTGGTTAATAACGAAACTATCTTAGGCCTGCACAGGGCAGAATACAGGTAGGCAGAGAAAACTAAACTGAATTCTGGGAGGAAGAAGGCAGAGTGAGTGAGATGCCATGTAGCTCTGCCAGAGACAGGCAATGGAACTTTATCTGGTAAGCCACAGCCTTGTGGCAATACACAGATGAATAGAGATGGATTAAATTAAGATGTAAAAGTAAGCCAATAAGAATTTAGGGCTAATGGGCCAAGCAGTGATGTAAATAATATAGTTTCTGTGTGATTATTTCGGGAGTCTGGGTGGCTGAGAAGCGAACAAGCAGCCTCCTAAAACAGATTGGCAACCAATGTAGGGCCATTGTGTATTAATTTGCAAAGATTTATAAAAAATAATGCAAACCAAGAACAGGTTAGTTATATTCATGTCTGTAAATATGTATGTGTTTTGTGCCAAAGTCTTGCCTTATAACTCAGGATAGCTTCAAACAGATAGTCCTCCTGCATGCTTGTGATTACAGGTTTATGCCACCATACCACACAAAGCTAGTTTAATTTGATAAAACAGGTAAAATAATTTCTAAGATGAAGTTGTTTTAACACTATACTATCACTTTGATACAAGATGTAAGTCCATGAACTAGAAACAAATATTCAGCACTCCCAAAATGAAATAAGCTTTCCTATGAAAAGAACTCCTATGGATTTAATATGGGAGAGAATTAGAAGTATTTACATTCATGTGCTTTTGTCTACAATGACAGAAAGTTTTGATTTTTTTATCACTGAGTGTTGATAGGCATGTAGGTGCACATACGCACATGTATTAGGATGCCAGAGGATAATCTCAGGTAATATTTCTCGGCAATACTGTCCCTTTTATTGGAGACAGTCTCTCAAAGGCCTGGAGCTCTCCTCTCCCATTAAGCTAGACTGGCAGATCAGGGAGCTGGATGGATCAGACTGCCTCTGAGTTCTCACAGCTAGATTATAAGTGCAGCTTTTTTATTTGGGTTCAAGACACCCAACTGCTGTTCTTGCAATTGTATAAACCCTTTACAAATTGAGCCATTTTCCCCGCCTATGTCTAGGCAATCTTAAAGATTTCATTTGTATCAATAATTATTAGATCAATACTCACCAATTCTTTTCTAAGTTGAATAAAAAATTGTTTGCATTTAAAAGAAATTTTTACAATCTTCAACCTGCATAAAAGAGAATTGGAGTGTTCAAAATTACTGGCTAAATATGAAAATATCAAAAGATTTGGAAAATTATAAGTATGATTTTTCATATTTTATGGTTTTTGAAAATTTCATACATTTATAGGATGAATATTAATCAATCTACTCACAAGTACCTCCAACTCCCTCTGATACTACCACACTTTCTCCTTCCTAACTTCATGGCCTCTTTTCAATTTTTGTGTCTGTTACTAATAACCCCAAGTTCAATTACTGCTGCCCATGTGCACACAGGTAAGTGGCCATGATCTTAAGTTTAATGTATGCCAATATCTTAACATTTTGTCATATAATCTCTAATACATATATCAATAATGTAACGTTTATGGAGCTTCCTAGAAAACAACAACAACAAAAAATCTAGGTGCTCAACTGAGAAAAATTTTACCAAATTCTATCTTCTATGAATTACGTATTTCCCAATTTTCTATTTTCAGAAATATTCACCAAAATTAAAATCTCAACAAATATAAATAACATTTAAAACTTTTAATACTACAAAGCATGCAAGAAGGAAAGTGTAAAATTTAAGGGTTTTATAAAAACTTTTTATTTTAAAAACCATTTAAAAAAACTTATACACTACCTTTTAAAATATATGTAACTTACTTTATTTTTGTTTGCTTTTTAAGACAGAGTCTCACTATATAGCCTTGGTTGGCCTGGAATTCACTACTGTAAACCAGTCTGGTTTGCCTCTGACTTTACTGTGGCCACCACACCCAGCTTAATATATGCAATTTATATAACATTAATTTCTCAATGTTCCATTAGTACAATTCTTGACTCAAGCTGGTTTGACTTCTTATAATAACCATATAAAAAATAACACTCAGATCTTTTTTGGCTGTAACACTTAAAGGCTATGAGGCCAAAGAGACTGAATCTTAGTAAAATGTGATTTGGGACCCAATTTTCTAATATTTCTAAGATTTGACAGTGGTGCTAAGTTTTGATCTTCATGACTCATACCTGTATCTATTAAGAAGCTCTCAAAGAATAAAGTTCTCTGATCTCAGTCACTTGAGAAGACAAATGTACCAGTCATACTTAGGCAGATCCTTTAAGAGTGGGGAAATACAAGTTTAGGTTTTAGGTCTGAACTTTGTGTTGCTGGGGGAATGAACCCAGGACTTTACACATGTCAGTCAAGTGCGATAATACTGTGCTAAATTCCCAGACCCAGGGTTGAAATTTATTATTTTTCTATTATACCTTGTGCTCTTACTTCATAAAAAACAACATGGATATATTATTTTCTCATATAACAGAGGGTATTATTTTCAGAAAGTAAAAAGACTGGATAAAATAGCCTGTAGCTGTGAAAAGAAAGTAATTTAAAAATCTATACAGAACTACATATAGTTTTAAATTTATACATTAATATTAAGAACAAATAAAAAATGCGACTCATTTCTAAATGGACGAGAGAGAATCTAATTCTAGTCATCTTCATTTTACAAACACCAGAAAACATCAAACAATGCAAAACTTTACACTGGATGACGGTCTTTAACAAAAGTCTACTTATATGACTTGTGTTTCTTACAAATATATTCTATCAAACAATGAACAACACTTGTTTTATAAAATAAGATAGCTATAATACTTCTTCCTTTGATTTCCGTGTTCTTGATTTATCTTCTATAGTGAATTCTACCAATCTGTCTCTTTATGTTTCATATATACCTCTTGTAAATAGAATATATATAAAATTTTCAATCCCTTCTGAGTATTTCAAAGAGAAATGATAAAATATCAATAGCATATAAATATTGATGAAATATCAATAGCATATAAAAGATGGTCAACATTATTAGCTATAAAAGAATACAAATTAAAATTAAAATGAGATATCATTTAGCACCCAGCAGGACGTCTTTAAGTCAAAAGACTAACAATAAATGGTAGGGAGACTATGGTGAAATTAACCTAGCACATATCCTATTGGGGATGGAAGGTGATAGATACCACCTTTGAGAAAAAAGCCTGACGAACTTAGAAATTCTAATCCTTTGTATATGCCCCCTACCAACACTTATACAAATATGCAGTGGAGTACCAGTCTTTAAAGTCAAAAGGAATAACTGATGAGCTGTGAAACAAAATGTGATGTAACTATTCAGCCTTAAAAGGGGCACTGATTGATATATGCTCTAAGACAGATGAATGTTAAGAACATGCTAAGTGAGTCACTCAAACACATGGTATATTATCTCATTTTAGAACAAAATAGAAATATAATTAGGGCTGGAAGTAAGAGGCAAGACAAGGGGTACAAAATGATTTATAACGAATGATCTTTTTGGGACAATGAAAATGGTTCACAATTATATTAGGTGATGTTGTGTTCTTTAACTATACTATAAGCACTGTATAATTTTCCAGTGGAATACATAAAACATATAAATTATAAAGTTTAAAAATCCGTTTTGATAATCTGCCTCTTTCAATCTGAAAGGGTGGTTGCTATTTTTCCTGAAGAACTTAGTTTAACGCTTCTCATATGACAGGATTTCCTTAATTCTCTTGCTTCTGCAACTATAGACCAAGTTAATGAGTTTCATCTTTGAACACTTGCAAATATTTCACTCTATCATTCGTGGGCTTTCCAAAGACAAGTGTCATGTAATTCTTGTTCTTATTTCTCTGCAAAATGATGTTTTCGGTGTTTTCATTCTCTTGAAATTTGCAGTTGAATCCAGATATGATTTACTGACTAAAAGGAATCAGGTAAACATTCCTCAGCTGAAACTTCATGTTCATCTGACAGGACGAAGGCTGTGGCTACTGCACTGTGAGCAGCCTGAAGTGCGGGCTTAGCTTCCGCAAGTGCCCTTATTCTGCCACTGTCATTGTCTCTGGTTTACTATTAGTCTCTTTCAATTGCCTTCCTTGCAATTTTTCAGCTGTAATCCCCTGTTATTAAACAGGACCTTTGTTGATACGGCCTGTAATATGTGAGCTGGGGAATCCGGTTTAATCCTATGACGAAATTTAAGTGGCATCGAAGAAGTCCATCCCCCTTAACTCTCACCATGAGAACAGGAAAGAGCACTTGGTTCATAAACTCATAAAGGTTGAAGACTCTCAGAAGATGGGACATCTTAAGTTTTGTCTTAATCCATTCTAGATCTGCCACCTGGCAATGAGTCACCGCCACCTTTTAAACAGTCTCAATCATCCATTCTCTGTAGTCACTTGTCTCCAACTCTCAAGGCAGGAGTTTACTCTGGGAACTTAAAGAAAGTTGTCAATTTTCAGTTTCCTTTGGGTTTTTCTTTGTTGTGGCAACAGGACAGTGAACACCTTACATGTCAGATCAAGAAGCTAAACTCTTTGTCTTTCTTTTATTATCTTAATGTCTTCGTTTTCTTGTACTGCATATTGTAGAGAATACTTGGAAATTATCCATTATAGCTCATGATGATATGGGCTTGATAGTCCTAGCAGCTTTAAATCCCATATATTTAATTATTGAAAGCAATATTTAAAATTCATATCATGAAATATGTAGATCAAATAATAAAAATCCCGAGACAGATACTGGGGTTCAACCTGAAGATCAGAAAAGCAAAGCAGCCAAGGCACTAGAGAGCTCTTACCTGTAGACTGAAAAAGAACGAGTTCCTGGACATCCTGCCTTATATTCCTCTCTAGAATTAAAGGTGTGTGTGCCTTCCTAGTACTGGGATTAAAGGTAGGAGCCACCATCACCTGGATCTGTTTCTGCATTGATCTTGTGTAGTCCAGGGTGGCCTTGAAGTCATAGAGATCCATCTGTCTCTGTCTCTCAAAACCTGGAATTAAAGGTATGTGCTACCATTGCCTGGGCTCTCTAGTGGCTTAGTTTTACATTCTGGTCTTTATTTATAAAACATAAATAAAATATCACTATAGAAATATTTTCTAATTAATAATTCAATGTTAACATGAATTGTTTGTTTTTCTTAAACCCAACCTGCATAAGGCTTTGGGCATACGAGTATTATTTCTCAATTTTAAGCCAGCTTCAAATACATTTAAATGATGCACCAAGTCTTCCATCACAAATATCCAACATAAGCTGATTTCTCAAAATTCACTGTCTCCTTCCAACTGAGAACCCTTTTTTGCATACCATAAAAGCCATCTCAAATTTAGTAAAATATTCCACATAGTATATTCTTTTCTGTTCACACAAAAATAATCAGTAGTTCGCCAGAGTCCTCATTTTATAAAAATGAAACAGTAAAAAAAAACAAAGATTATATAATACAGAGCTTTGAAAATACAGTTTAATTATCATTCGCATCTTAAGTACGATCTCCTGAAATAAATTATGATTCTAACATTTACATATAGTATAAAAATTAATTTTTGTGCATCCTATCTATACTTACAAGCAAGAATTTTGTTATTGTTCATTTGATTTTCCCCTTGAACATGCCACAATTTCAATTATACAGAAAATATTTCAAAGGTAGAAGATGAAACACTAAACAATCTTTAGTTTCACCAGTTTTTTGAATTTATAATACAGTTTACCAACTTTAGGTGAGCAATTCAAGAATTTTAATAAATCTATTCAACTGCATAACCCCCACAGAGCAATCATGCAGCATTTCTGCCATCCTTACAAAGTCTCCTTGGTGCTGGGCAGTAGTGGCTCACACCTTTAATCCCAGCACTCGGGAGGCAGAGGCAGGCAGATCCCTGAGTTTGAGGCCAGCCTGGTCTACAAGAGCTAGTTCCGTGACAGGCTCCAAAGCTACAGAGAAACCCTGTCTCGAAAACAAACGAACAAACAAAAAACAAAGTCTCCTTGGTACCCATTTACAGTTAATAGCCTCTTCCCATTTAAAATATATTCTAAGGTTTCATATAGAGAAAAGTACATTCTTTTGGACCTGGTATAAAAATGAAGGTAGGGGTATCAATGTTTTAGTGTATCAACAGTTCATCTCGTCTTAATGGTAAGGAGAATTATACCATGTGGATATGCCATAATTTGTTTATTCCTTCAGTTGATGCACATTTTGATTTTCATTTTATGTTATGAACACTTTAGCTATGAATTTTATGAACAAATTTTCTTTATATATATATATGATCTAAGTTTCTCATGCTAGGATTACATGGCTCCATGTTTGGTCTATTGATACCTGACCAATGTATTTATTAGTTACTTCTCTTATTACTATGACAAAACACCTGGCAAAGACAACACAAGAAAGAGAGTTTATTCTGGCTCACACTTTGAGGGCACAGTCCATTAAGGAAGGGAAGACATGGCAGCAACAGCAAAAGATAACTGTGTCCGTAGTCAAGAAGCAGTGAGAAAAACAAATGCTAGAATTCAGCTTTCTGTTTTCCATTTGGTTCAAGATTCCAGGCTATGAAATTATGTTGCCCACATTTACGGTGGTCTTTCCAGTTCAATTAATCCAGTGGTTTTCAACCTTCCTAATGCTCCGGTCTTTAATACAATTCCTCATGCTTTCGTGACACCCTCCCCCCAATTATAAAACTATTTTCAGTGCTACTTTACAACTGAAATTTTGCTACTGCTATGAATCATAATATAAATATTTTTGGAGACTGAGGTTTGTCCAAGGGGTCACAACTTTTCAGATATTTGTTTCTGTTATCAAAGTCTTTACTAGTTCCAACACTGCTCAAAAGACTTTCTCAAGCCTCAAATAGTTCCTTAACTATGAGCCTTGAACAATGAGTAAAGCGAGTTACATACATTCAATGGTACAGTCAATAGTTCCATTTTAAATATCAAACTAAAGCAAGATAATTAACCCTGCAAGGAAAATGCGAACTCTTGTAAGCTCCATGTGAGGCTTTTGGGTAAGATGATGGAATCATGTGGGCTCGAAGGGTTGGGCAGACAGACCCCTCCAGTTCCAATACCTGCAGTATATACACAGACTCGAATCAGTTCCATTCCATTTCCTCCTGTAGCATTCCTACAGTGGACATCCCTTGGTTCATCAACAAAATCTTAGAATCTCCACCGAAACCTGAACTTCACTTTCACAACTTCATGCAGTAGCCTCTTGGCCACTTCTTTTTAATGGGACTCTAACCCTCCCATATATTAACTGACTTCAGCAGATCTCTGAAACCATTACACAAGACTGCAGGGCCTCCTCAATCTTATATCTTAATGCCTACAATGTCAGTATCAGATGCACAAAAGTGCTAATTTCTGTTGTCAACTCAGAATGGAGCTCAGTTGCAGCCTATTTGGTGACTCTGGGAAACAAGTTTTGTTTTGTTGAGACAGGGTTTCTTTGTGTAACAGAACTAGCTTCCCTGAAACTAGCTCTGTAGACCAGGCTGGCCTCCAACTCAGAGATCCGGCTGTCCCTGCCTCCAGAGTACTGGGATTAAGGGTGTGCACCACTACTACCCGGCAACAGTTGCTTTTGAGCAAGGAAACCCTTGAGCAATATTCTCAGTTTAGGTTTTCTCTTTTCAAATAAATTTGCATTTTCCACAAGATGGAGCTTTCAGTATTCTTGGGATACCATTCCTATGAAATCAGTGTGAAGGGTCTTCTTCACTGGGTCTACTCTCTAATGATTACAGCTCTTTGAGCCTGCCTTTTCCATAGTTTCATACTTGCTCATACTCTTCTTCACAGACCTCCACTTTTCATCTCTCTGCTCCACTTTTTACTGTTGGTTAAGTGTAAGCTAAAGAAGGCTGTAAGCAACAAACAACACAATACTGCCTTGAAATTTCCTCTAACAAATAAATTAGCCCATTCCTTTTCAATTTGTCTAACTTAAATTCTCAGGACTTGAGCCAAATAAAGTTAGATTTCTTTATTCCTTTAATTTTTTTCTTTCCAGAATATAACATGAATGGCTTCAAGCCCAGATCCCCATAAAGTACTTGTTCCCCTTTAAGACCTCATGAGCCAAAGAAAGAAAGAGAGAGAGAGAGAGAGAGAGGGAGAGAGAGAGAGAGAGAGAGAGAGAGAGAGAGAGAGAGAAAGGAAAGAAAGAAAGAAAGAAAGAAAGAAAGAAAGAAAGAAAGAAAGAA